CATGTTTATAACAGGACAGAATGTTATACATAAAAAATTTTCTGGCCTGTTTGAAGCAAAAGAAGCGCTAGCACAGTTCAAAACAAGCTATGCGGGAAAAGCACAATCACCGGCTACAGCAGCACAGAAGCAAATGCCTATATTAGGCAAGGTTCCAAATATCAGACCACTTACAATTGGAAGCATACATTCTAAACAACAAAAAGAAGAGATGACCAAGCTGACCAAAAATATTTTTGACCATGAATTCAAGTTTGTGGTTAATTATACAGATGAAGATAAGCAGACAAGCATTTACCCAACTGATGGTCTATACCTTGGACCAAAAGCAATTGCTCTACCAGAGGCAGATCCAATGAAAGTATACATGATGTTTCAATCAGGATTACTGAGTTGTATTTATTTCAGGGATACAAATATGTACCAATACTTCCCAACTAACATCAAGAAGGCAGTTTCCCAATATTGTAAGCACGTACTCGGGAAAAAAGAAGGATTCATGAAGATATTTGCTACCACACCAATTTTTGGAGAGGGGGAGAACTCACATGAACTAATACAACCAGCAATCCAGTTTTGCCAAATTGGAATAAGCAATGGTAACTACCCAGACATTGGACAAGCAAAACATGAAGATGAACTAATCCAGTTCCTTAACAATTATGTCATAATTCTAAACAAAGGCATTAAGATAAAGGGACGGATTAATTATGCTACAAAGTCCATTATCATCTGGAGCATGCAAGCAAGAGATCCAACGGAGTTAGATATCAAGTTACTTAATAAGTATCTGGATACACTAATAAAAATACAACTTGAGATTCCAGAAATAATTAAGAAAGAAATCTGCATCAGATTACAGAAGGAATTCACAGAAGATCACATTTGTGAATTATGCAATCCATAATCACAAGGAAAATTTGAACCTATCCAGGAATGATGTAAGCGCTTACGTCAGAAGGCAAATAATGCAGATAATAGACAATAGTGGAGGATCCCACCTCCAAATAATGGAGCAGATAGTGGACGAGATAGTGGACAATAATGGAGGATCCCACCTCTTTTTGAAAGTTGTCTTGTTGTAATAGATAGGTCATAATGCACTATGTAATGGGATGGTGAGTCACCACCCACACCCACTTTATCTCCACTAAGAACTTATTATGTAAAGGTTTCGGCCATGAGAAGCCAATTGTAAAGAGGCAGAGTTATATCTCTCGCCTATAAATAAGTGTCTCAAACTTCATTTGAGGACACAACAATTCGAAATAAAATTACTTCTTAAAAATACTCTTTCTCTCTCTAAAAGGTTTTCATGCTTTCATATATAATAAGTTTCTAAATACTTAGTAGATATAAGAAGAAAGATTAAAGGTGTTAGTTGATTGAGCAATAGTTTCTTTGGAGCACTGAAAGTTCTGAGAAAAGTCGAAGCTGGTATGCGTCAAGGCTATTAAATCCAGAATTGTGTTGAGAACAGGCGGAATCAGGTAACTCTCTTAAATCGAGTACTTTTATATCTATCTTGTTAATAATTGTTATTGATTTCTTAGTTTCCCATGGATATAAATGATTTTTGGTATATGCCATATAGAGAAATATATAAAGATATAAATCGTCTCAAAGCATTAATAAAACAAATTGCTTCATTAACAAAAATGTTAAAAGAAAATGAACAAATGTTATTCAACCTAGTAAAAATTTATGCACCTAAAGAACATTCAGTAGAAGATCATTTTCGAATATGCGATAATATTACTTCTTCAAATAATAGGATTAAAGAGTTAATAAAGAAAGCTGAGTACCAAGCATTTAGTGTAAGTGTTCAAATAAGACTAAGAATTCTAAATATAAGATAATAAAAGACAAATAATGGATAACGAATATCATGTTATAGAAAATATAGAAGAACAAGAAATTTATTTATCAGACATATTATTAGATAAAAAGGTAGTAACAAAAGTAAAAAATAAAGGAAATTTAGATTTAGAAAAGAAAGAAGGAATAAATAATAGTATATTAGAAAAATTAAATAGAAAAAATATAATACATTATGGAATAATGAATGGAGAACAACCAATTAGAATAGAACAAGCAAATTATAATTTTCAAGCACCCTTAGTTGAAATAAATCAAATAGAAAAGAGATTAGAAAAAATAAAAGAAGAAGAAAGAAAAAAGATAAGTTATATACACATAAATACAGTACAAATAGTATTACGATCTACATTTATAGAAGGAATAAAGACACCCGTTAATATAAAAGTTGAAGATAATAGAATTATGCATAAAGAATCTAGAAAGCTAGGAGAAATAGAAGGAGATTTAGGGTATGGAGTAATTAAATTTAATATATCATTACAATTTCCTATACCATTATCAACTAAGAAAATTAATAACTGCATAGGAATAATATGTAATTTTCAAGAAAAAACATTAATGGAATCAGGAGATATACCTATGGTTGTTTGTTACAGAATAGCTTATGCATTAAGTAATAGTAGTTTAAGTATGAATTATCAAAATCAAGAAAGAATATATACGCAAAAAAATATTTAATGAAACCAGTACCATTATTAAAAATGATAGAATTCAAAAGGAATTCTTAAGAGAACATAGTAGACGATCATTTAGTAATCTAGGAAAACTAAGTGAAAATAATTTATTAAAAATTTAAGAAATTGAAGAACCTCATAGTAGCAATAGTTTATATAAAGGGGATATAGAAATAGAAAAATTAAATAAACAGGTAAATGAGTTAAGCTCATTAGTAATAAATCTAAATAATAAAATATAATTTGTAGTAATGGATAAGAGAGATATAAATCTTGAATTAAATGAATTAAAACGAAGGGAAATCAAAGAAGTAGATTATTTAATAGAAAAATCAATTCAATATTCATATATAAACAAGGACGAACAAAAAATAAAACAGATAGAATATGATATACAAAAATATAAGAAAAAATTTAAGAAATTACATAGAATAGGACCACCTAAAACAATAATATAAATGACTTAAAGAAGAAAGTATACAAGGTTAAATATATACAAAGTAAAGTTATAAAGATATACAAGGTTAAAATATGGTATCAGAGCCTGGTAACAGGTGAAATAATTAACTAAATGCAACAAATAGATTGGTTAAATGCATTTTTAGCAAGACGTAAAACTCTTGAAAAGAAAATTGCAAATACAGCACCGCATTCTGAAATACATGAAAAACACATAAATTATTGGAAAGATAAGCTTGAATGTATAAATTTAGCTATCCAAATTTTAGAAACAAACAATAGAACCTATTCAAGATCAGAAGAACAATTCTTTGAAAAATGTTTAGATCCTTGGAGATACAAAGAATAGAGAACATAAGATAAAAATGAGTACACTAAAAATTTATTTGGACATAGAATGGGAAATTCAAAATATAAAAACAGAAATAACAAGATATGCTTATTTACATGATATTACAAGTGAAGAATTTTATTATGATATAATAATGATATGTGAAAAACAATTAAAAAGATTAAGAAATCTACAAACACAAGTAACTATTGCATAAAATGGTATATTAAAAATAATAATGAACATTATTCTTAATAATGGAAAAAAGACTAATAGCACTCCAATGGGTGCCACCCTCGCGGGTGGCATCGAGTGAACCAAAAGATATATATAGACTGCCAAAATACATCATAATAAATGGATGTAGCAGTAAATAATTACTTTTTGACTGATGGATCAAAATAAATTTAGAGAAGTTGGCTTCACACGGAAGCTAACTCAACTCAAAGTCCTCTCCTCACTCTCGTCTCTATATATATGTTGCTCTTCTCACCTTTTGGGTAAAAAAATCATAACAAAAGCTGCTATAACCGATATTTATCTTTTAAAGGTTAATTGAGAAGCGGATACAAGTTCTCAAAATGCCGAGAGCTAAATCATATGCGCATCTTGGTCTCTTACTGCTCTTTATTCAGTTCAGTCATATTTATTTTTACATTTGTTTAACATCCTAAAATTTCATGCTCTAACTAAAATTTAAATGGAAAATCCTACCGCAAGCTTCATCTCCCCAACATATACAACCTAAATGCAAATCAAGTTTTCCTCTCTCCTATTAGGGATGTATATAGTAAATATTAAGAAAATAAGTGAATTAGTATAAATATTATTACACTAATGTCCAAACTACAAACACAAGCTACAGCAAGTGTATGCACATCAAATAAAATACCTCCATCCTTGTCATATGGTGTTACCAGTGTGTGTTACAAAGGACTTACTTCCTAGTGAACATAAGAAAATTTAAGTTTGATGGTTCCACATTGAAAACCAAATAGCCAAATAACGGTTCTAAAAATTGACTTAATTGAGACTTATAAAGCCAAGGATTTGAAGTTAGTAATTCAAAAAGATACTTATCTTGGTTTCTCCTTGTCTTTCCCCATGGCAATGTAAATGTCTGAAAGAGGAGAACACAAGGACTGATCTCAGACAACATATCATCCATTAGGACAGCAAAAGGGTTTAAGTAGACCTTTCTTTCCAAAAATTGTTTCTTGTACTGAAAACTGTTATCAAGGTTCATAGTCATACTGAATCCACTATGACCCCCTCATGGATAGTACAGTAGTTGGCTTATAGCATCTGATCACTACTCCAAAACTTCAAAACTAGTTGAGAGTTAAACACTTTAGGGGCAAGAGTATTAGATACATATATGTCTAAAGGCAGTAATAGAGTTGTATACGAGCCGAGCCAAGCCCGAATACTTGATACTCGCACTCGGCTCAAACTTTTTTCGAGAGCTCGAGAATCCTGTAAATTGTATTTTTTGTTCTTTCTAGTAAAAATTCAAATGTACCTAGAATAAGAAAATTACACATAGGCAAAAATAATAACTCAATCACAATTCCAAAATAGCAGAAAATCCAAAACATAATATGAAGTCCAATCATTCAAACATAAATACTACAAAACATAAGTTTAAGTTCCATTCTCCAAACAAAAATATTACAAAACATTCAAGGAATAAAAAGACAACCAAATTTGAATACATATTGTCCAAATTGAGTACCACAAATTAAAAAGGTTTCATTGCCCAAAAACATCCATTGCAAAAAGGTTTCCATGCCCAAAAACTAGCAGGTCTGCCACCTGATCAAGTTTGAGGAAGTTCAACTTCATGATATGTTGATGATTCAGAAACATCCATTGTATCCTACAAAAATAAAAATAAAAAGTCACTATACCAACACAAAATCAGATATAAAAAGGTGAAAAATTCATTATAAAAACAATATAAGAATGTTTATTACACTTCGACGAGGTCTAGTTTTCAACCCATAATGATTCCTTATCCAGTCATTACCACAAAGGGAGTACTTGCACAGTATCGACCCACAAAGAAGCTCGCTGATCGTCAATTACTCGACCACCAGGTAGACTCGGAGGCCACAGTTGTACAGAAAGAATGTCACATGCCATTTTTTATTATATTGGAAATCTCAGACGTTCCCCCTTCCACCATGCTAAAAAATCAAGATTAGCAGACGCATCACAAATGTATCTACCTGGTACAAATCCAAATCTGGTTTTTCTGGGAGGGCTCTATCAATTCACTCACATGCAACATAAACTTTTCCCTACCAGTGAGAACATGAACTCCAGGTTTCTTACCTCCACTTGAACTGAAGAGCCAATCTCATTTTTTTTTTTCGCTTTACCTGCTTCTTTGTTGGTTCTTCGGCACAAGACAATATATGAGATTCCACATATTCATCATAAAGCTCATATAGAAGCACAATAATATCAGCAATTTTTTCCACAGCGTTTACTTCACCATAAATTATCAAAAAAGCATGATTAATAAGTACCATTTTATAGCTCGGATCTAGAATAGCACCAAATGACAACAACACGTTACACTCTCCCCAATATTTATCGAATTTCAATGCCATATCCGAGGCCATAGCCCTTATGTGCTCAGATTCATCTAAAGCCTTTTCTGTTAGCAGCTCTTTAACCCTATAAAGCTCCACAAGGAAAAGATTAGAGGTTGGATAGTCGGATCCCGAAACCATGTTAGTGATTTCATAAAAGATACCAAGAAATTTGCACACTTCTTCCACTTCGGACCACTCGTATTCATCTGGAACATAACTAAACCAAAGGTCAATATCCCTATACCTCGGAAAAACATTCTTAAACTCTAAAGCTGAGGCCAACATGAGATATGTGTTATTCCATCTAGTTGTGCAATCCAAAATCAACTTTCTAGAAGGGCACTGCAATTGTTTTGCAATTTTTGCAAATAAAATGAGGCGCGACTTTGAATTATTCAAGTACTTTATCCCATCTCTAACGACATCAACCACATTTCCAATGTTCTTCAAACCATCTCACATTAAGTATATGAGCACAACACCTCACATGAAATATTTTTCCATCAATACTTAATTTCTTCTTAAAGCAAAATCCTCTTTAAGTCTCTTGATACACAAATCATTATAGGTTGTCGACGCTTAAGCTACAAATTTTGTTCTGAATCTCCCAATCAATGAAACACTTACTAAATGCATCAGCTATAATGATTCCTGTATGTGGAGGAGGTACAAAGTTCAAAACACATTTTTGCAACACCCAATTAGAATCAACAAAATGCCCCGTCACAACCATGTATTGAATTTTTTGACCAGATTGCCACAAATCGGTAGTTATAGAAACCCGACTAGCACCCTTTAAGAGAACTTTCAGCTTTCTTGTTTCTATCTGATAAGTTGTATAACAATCTTCTTTTACCGCTGACGGGTAATCTTCTTATAAAATGGGGTTGCAGCTTTCATGAACTTGTTGAAAACATAATGGTACATCATAGAAAATGGATACTCATGCACTAATATCATATGAGATGCAAGCTCTCTCACCTTTGCATGATCGTATGAGAAATTGGTAACAGAAGTGATACCGTCAGTTTGTCCTTCTGAAAACGACAAAACCTGTTGCGTCATTATGTTTGGAACTCCAGAGTTCAATTGACTTTGTAGACATGATGCTAGATGACGCTTGTGTTGAGATGTAGTTCCAGTTGCACTCTTTGAAAACAATGAGCGACAATGCAAGCATTTCACTTTCTCTGTTCCATTCTTCATCATTACGACTTCCATATTATCCCACACCGTTGACTTTTTTCCTCGTTTTCTTTTTCTCAAAAAGTTTATCTCCACCTTCACCTTCCTGGTTGGTCTGCTCTTTGTCTTCGTCTATAATTGCAAGCTTCCTCACTCATCACGTCTGGATTTTCTTCAATGTCAACTTCATTCATTTGCTCCATACCAATACTTGGACATGAACCTTGATTTGAACTGAAAAGGGGGCTGGACATACCTGTTGATATGGTGAGACATGAATACAGTTATAAAGCAAAAACTATGATTTCAATGACTCAGACCACATTACAAAATAAAAATCAATATTCAACCACATTCTATAAAGGATAGAAAGTAGAAATAAACATGAAATTGAACAAGTGCTTGTGACTGAGGAATTTAAAGTTTGACAGCAACTCAAAATCTCAAATTTCCATCCAAATTCACTAATTACTTAACCTGATTTTTTTACTAATTGCTCTAAGAAAAGAAAAAAAAAAAAGAATTGAAAGTGAGACATGAAAGTCGCAAAAAAACGGATCTTTCAAATGCTTTTACTTCAAACTTATGGTTATACTTCAATGCACAAATCTGGTGTTTTCTAAAAAGCACATTTTTATAAGAGACTTATTCAGTGAAGTTCTCAATTTGCTTCAACATCTTTAGAATCGAGTCTTTCGGTGTTTCTGTCTCCTATAACTATAACTATAACTATAACTATAACTGAATGATTTGACATCTATCAAAGAAGAAACATAATCTTGCATATGATTTACACATCCTCCCTTAAATAAAAGCTAGCAACTCAGAGCAAACACATCCACTGTCATCAGTACTACAAACTCCCAAAACAAACTAGTTTAAGAATCACATTTTCGGCTGAAAGGAGAAATAAAGGCGTAAATAAACAACAGCATGATTTTCAAACTAAACATCGCATTATCTAACTTTCCAGAGTCAATATTCGAAAAGAAAGCTCGATATAGACCTTGAGGAGCCAAAGCTTGAAACTTTATACAGAATCCTCCAAAAACAATTTAAACCCGACAAAGTTTTCAAGTATTTACTATTTAGATACAAATAAATACAAATAAACCTCAAAACTATTAAGAAATCACAGAAATTATTTGAAGCTCAACCAAAAACCCACTATTAAGTTTAATGAAAATTTGACTTACCACTTTCCGGCCAAATAACAGAGATCCCTGAACTCAGAGGCGTTAGGCGTGGTATCCGATGAGGGGTTGAGGTGTCCGGCCAAAAGAACAAAAATCCGACGACGGGTTGAGGCGGTGCCGCAGACTCCGCAGTGGAGATACCACAAAGGCGTCGGGGTTTTTGTATTGACGGGATGCGAAATTGAAAATGATGACGGGATGAGTAATTAAGGATGACGACGGGATGAGGAATTGAAGATGCAAAATTGAGGACGATTGGATGAAGAAGGGATGAGGAACTGAGGTTTGAGGCTGAAGAATTGGGGAATGAGGATGACCGTGGTATCTGATTCTAATGTAGTGAAAATGTGAATTGAAAAATGAACTTAAGAAATAAGGGTAAATGAAGGGACAAAGTAAAAGTTAGGAAATTACATAAAAGACTGAGCTTTAACAGGTAGATAGCGAGCCGAGCCGGTTCGGCTCGTTAATGAAACGAGCCTCTCATAGAGCTCGAGCTCGACTCGTTTACCAAATGAGCCGAGCCGAACTCGAGCCTTAACGAGCCGAGTCAGGCTCGTTTAATTTAACAGTAAAATTACTTACATGTTGGCCAATATGATATTGCACAGGTAATCCATAACCCCTTTTCTATGCTAGTTATCAAGTTGAAACAAGATTACTAAAAGCTAGCAGATGAGGACAGGACAAAACATTTGTCACAGTAGCCCCTTGCTACGTGATAGAATCCACAGAAAATCACACTCTTGCTAATGCATGTCACTAGAAGAAAAGTGTAGCACACAGGCAGACACAAGGAGTTGAACTATGTGAATTACTCAGGCACAATAGATGTATACATAATCATATGTAAAAAGTTCACTCTTTGCATAAATATTTGATTGAATGTCGAAAAAAGAATCCAGAGATACTTGAAAGGTGGCATACATTTTGATAAACATTTTAATAATAATAATAATCGTATATTATGTATCCATTGTCCATTGCAAATGGAGCTGGAAGAGTCATTGTTGACAATTCTCCTGGCATATGCTAATAATGGACTAGATCAAAATGGCTCAATTAAATTCTAGTGCTTCTTCTATTAGTGAAGTTTCTAGAAAAAAAAAATATCAAACGGCGCAAAGCACCTTGGGTCGCTACGGAAACAGCCTCCTTGTATAATTACAAGGGTAAGGTCTGCGTACAACTGGCCCCCCCAGACCCCAACCTGTTGGGAATATACTGGGTATGTTGTTGTTGTTGTTGTTGTATATTATGTATCCCATTCCTACCTAAGTGCGCATTAATAGTAAATTATGTAATAGGTTAATTATGTCTTGTTTTGTGGTGCGCCTATCGGCATGGCTTGGATTTTTATGGCTTAATGCTATTGTGTATGTTTTGTTTGTGATGCAATGAATGGTAAGTTAATATTATATGCAGTCTATTTCTGCTACTGCTTTTGTCGTTTGACTCTTACTGCTCTTTATTCAGTCATAATTATTTTTTACATTTCTTTAACAACCTAAAACTTCATGGTCTAACTAGAATTTACCATCCTTCAATTTGGTGAACTAATAAACAATCTTCCAGCAAGCTTCATCTCCAACATATACAACTATGCAAATCAAGTTTTCCTCTGTGCTGCAACTACCAGGGATGTATAGAATAAATAAAAAAAAGCAAGTAAATAAATAAATTAGCACGAGTATATTGTTACACTAATGTTCAAACTTCAAACACATGCTACAACAAATGTCTTGCATACCATAAATTAAACCTCCATTATTGCCATATTTCGTGTTACCAGCGTGTAACAAAAGACTTACTTCCTAGTGAACTTCAAAAATTTTAAATTTGATGGTCCCACATTGAAAACTAATTACCGGTTCTAAAAATCAAGACTTACAAGCCAAGGATTTGAAGATACTATTTCAAAAAGATACTTATCTTGGCTTCTCTTTGTCCTTCCCCATCTCAAGCTTCCCTATTACACACACCTCAGTCTAAATCTATTGGCGCTCATCATCTCATGTGCAAAAAAGATAGAAATGATTTTTTGAAAGTTCAAAAATAAGACACAAATTCAAATAGATACTTATCTTGGCTTCTCCTTGTCCTTCCTCATCTCAAGCTTCCCTATTACACCAACTTCCCGGAATGAAATTTTCTTTGTTCTTTATTGTTTCTAACAATTTATAATACAACATAAAAGCAGCAAAAATCTGGCATTTCATGTTAAAGGGAAAAAAAGAAGAAAATAATGAAAGATTGGACTTTGGAGTTCTTACACAGTGGAAAAATTTACAGGCACCAACACTTGGGGGGTGTATTCAATTCGGAATTTAAGTGACATTTTAAGACTTTTCGAGATTTGAGACTTTCTAGGATTTTCAGATTTTGGAAGAATTCTATGAAATCTCAAGTCCGGAGGTAGGATTTGAAGTGGGATTTCATATAAGGTTTTTTGTTTAGAAATCCCACAAAACCTTAAAAAGTCTTAATAAATCCTAGTGTCAAAAAAATTAAATACCTCAGGATTTTGTAAGACTTTTGAAAATCCCAATTGAATACCCCAGGATTTTTAAAAGTTTTAAAAAGTCTTAACAAATCTAAATTGAATACACCAGGATTTCTAAAGTCTTAAAAAGTCCTTAAAAATCCTAATTAAGTAAGACAATAAAATGTACGACATCCAGTAATAACTTCATCTACTGACCCAAATGAGCAATGTCAAATCTTCCCACAAAACCACCAAAAAATTTAGATAATTTTTTTTTTTAATGACATAATTTTTTTTTCCACGTCAGGTAAAGCTTCAAAACGAATATACCTTGTAAACCGGTCATAATGGGCCTTTTCAAATTTTCCATCGACTAACGGAGAGGGTGGTACTGGGCTGATACTCTCTTAGGAGGCAGCTTGCGCGAAATGTACAGAACGAGAGCCGAAGGAAGAATCTCAACCAGCTGTTTATATTTTCATAAGATTAGGTACATTTAGAAAATAGAGACTTATCCAATATTGAAACAACCGAGAGAGAGGAGCTACCGTGTAATAGATTAAATTCAAAACTGGATGGTCCAGCACGTCAAGGGATACATCGGAATCGAAAGCTGAAAGCATCACCTGAGAATACCGGGGTAGATTATGTAAGTTCGATAAATAGTATTAAGTTAATATCTGGATAACAAGGGATTACTTTGAACATTTGCATCAATATTTGGCTATATTTGATAAGCATATAAACTAGCTTATAAATAAGTTTGGTTTGGTCGGACGAGTTTTTTTAAAAAAAACTCGAGCTTATCTCATAAGATTCCTAGGGTAGCTTTCAAATAAAGTCATTTGAAATTTTTATTTCAGTTACCTTATCAGCTAATTTTACCAAACACTTTTATTATATAAGCTAACTTTTTAGTCATAAGTAATAAGCTATCAACTATAAGCTCAAAATTCACTTAAAAACTAGTTTGTCAGCTATAAGATAGCTTATCAGCTAGGTTTACCAAACATAACCATTATTGATTTCAATCTTAAATCGAAATTGAAAGTTATAAACAGGCAATTTTAGAAAGCTTACCACAAAGCACCTTACGAGGAAACAAGTGAAGCATATAGCTGTCACGGATCCAAAATCCAGTTCAAACAGTAACATAAAATGATTGAAGTTAAAGTATATATTTCGGATGGAACAATAACAATATATTGGCCATTTGGCTTCTGTACTATTATCCTTGAGATATTACGCCACCATGAATGCTAATATTTCAAGGCAAGCGAATTGCAAAGCACAAACCCTGTGAAGTTTCTTTCTTCTCCCTTTAGATTCAATGGGAAATCGTCTCAGCATGAAAAACAACCTGCAAAACGGAAAGCAAAGAAAAAAAAAATTGCGAAATGTATAAAAAAAAACCCAAATGTAAGGACTTGAAAGAACCATTAGGAAGAAACTGATATTGCAAGGTATTTGAAAATAGCTAAGATTCCCAATCCCCACCTTCCTCCATACAACAAGAACCCTAATGCAGCTATAAATGATATCACTACAGAGATCACAAGTGACGAGTAGGATCAAATGTTACAAATCAATTATATATATATATATATATATATATATATATAGTCCAAAGGCTTTTCATCCTTTGAGTTGCACATGGAAATGAATAAAAGAAATGAAGTGAGATTAACCTGCAATAAAAATCTTCCCAATGAACTCTATGACGCTGTTATCATTAATCCCCAGATAAACCCAGATACAGACCTGATTTCAACACCTCAGTTTCTTGTCATTTATTATTATCATATTATTATAACAAAAATAATAATTCAAAGGAGAGCTAATACGGACCTGTATGAAGTAAATAATGCCATTGATAGAAACGTAGAAGACTCTCAGTTTATCGGTCGGCAAACTTCTGGCCTGACCAATGACAATGATGACATTCACAACTCATAAGTCACAGGCATTTGAGTTTAGCACACAACTCTCGTCAACTATAGCAGTCACACTTCATAACTGTGATGTATTTTTTCGCAATTGTTTGCGCATACCTGATGATATATCTCTGCCCAGAAAAGGACAAGAAGTGTATACGTGGAAAAGAACAGCAGTCCAGGAAGATCCAAAAGTACCAAAGCAAATGCCTGATTCATTTTTTTAAAAAAATATATATGAATAGAAAATAAGGCCAGAATAAGAACTAAAATAAATAATAATAGGTCTATAACGATAAGTGTATAATATTTATCATTGACAATTGATAATATCCAAGGCCTACACAATAATGATATCCATAAGCATTCCCGGTGAGAAAGTAACAAATAACTATACAAAGTTAACACACGGTTTGTTCTAAAATTTTGCACACAAAGCGACTTCCATCGAGAATAATCAAAGAAAAATCGATACTTAGCTACACAGCCTACACTACATAAATATAGGCAGTCTTCTATTTTGTACATAAAGTAAGTGAATAGTTTCCAAAATCACAAACATCATGCGCTGGTGCTACGAAATAACAATAAAATATTGTATGACAACACTGAACCAATGAGCGAATTTGAACTATTGAGTAAGAAAAATTGCAAGCAAGGTGAATCTTCATGAGGGAAAAAAATATACTTATAAAGAAGGAGAAATATTTTACAACTGAAACTTACCTTGGTATGCAAAAGAAATACTTGCTTATGAAATCCAAATACCACAGCATCACTGCAATTAATTTGATCATAAATTAATGCGATGGCTGGAATTGTAAATCTCCGTACCTCCATTGACAATAAAGTTCATCAGGTGAAAGACCTTCTTGAGTTGTCCAACCGTACTCAGGCACCCTTAGTTCAATCCCAAGGTCAAAAAATGACCTAGGTCACCAACCTTGATGATTTTTTGCTTCTTTTTTTTTTTTTTTTAATTTTCCATGACCCAACACAAGAAATCATGGATAAAGATAGTCTTACACCTCATTCTAAATCTACTGGCTCACATGTGCAAAAAAGATGATGTGATTTTTCAGAAGTTAACTAATATTTAGAAGGGGCACAAAAGATTTCCGTAACCATAGGAGTGCTGGCCAGGACTTTAGTGTCAACAGGCAAGGACTTTCAGTTGAGATTAAACCCTTTAGGGCACCTTTATTAAACACAAAGCAAAATATTAACAGCGCAAGCTCATCAACTGCTGAAACCACGGATAAAGTAAGAGAATTGAATAATTCAACATGGAATTTAAAGGGCAATGTAAATAAATGTCTGAAAGGGAGAACACAAGGAATGACCTCAGACAACATATCATCCACCTGGGCAGCAAAAGGGTTTAAGTTGGCATTTCTTTCCAGAAATTGTTTCTTGTACTGAAAAATGTTATCAAAGTTCATAGTCATACTGAATCCAGTATAGCACAGGAGTTGGCTCATAGCATCGGATCACCACTCCAAAACTTCAAAACTAGTTGAGAGGCAAACACTTTAGCGGTAAGAGTATTAGATGACGAAATAACCGAGTACATATGTCTGAAAGCAATAATAATACTATGTCTGAAGGCAGTAATAATATTTACACGTTGGCCAATATGATACTGCATAGGTAATCCATAAACCCTTTTCCATGCTAGTTATCAAGTTGAAACAAGATTACTAAAAGCTAGCAGATGAGGACACGACAAAACATTTGTCACAGTAGCCCCTTGCTACGTGATAGAATCCACAGAAAATCAAACTCTTGCTAATGCATGTCACTAAAAGAAAAGTGTAGCACACAGCCACACAGAAAGAGTTGAACTATGTGAATAACTCAGCATAATAGATGTATACAAAATCATATGCAAAAAGTTCACTCTTTGCACAAATATTTTGATTGAATGTCAGAAAAAATAATCAAGAGATACTTGAAAGATGCCATTCATTTTTATAAATATTTCTCAATCCAGAAAAAATGTCACTCACACCAACATGCCTAGTGACGCTATCTACAGCAAAGTTAGTACTGCATAAGACAGACACCGGAAAAGTACTAAACAGAACAAATTGCAACATCATTACCGCAAATTCTTAAGTGACACTATCTGACGTAGCTCCAAAATAAGATCGCAAAGAACCGTCAAATGATAACATCATCAATACCATAATGTTAAAACATATTAAGATTCATGCACAAGANAGAAATTCAGAACTCAGCTAGTATTTAGATCCATCCTCCCCTAGCGCAATAACCACTTTCTTCAGGATGAATTCAGTAGGCCGGTGTGAATTCTCCACAGCTTTTGATATGGATTGCCATTTTTCGCCGTGCTTTGGTTCTGCTGCCACACACCTGCTCAACACCTCACTCCGAGTCGCCTCAGTACCGTGCTCGAGTTCCAGTTTGTAAAACAACGCCCAAAAATCCCCAATATCCGGGCCAAGCTCAACGGCCCGGTTGAACCAAGATCGGGCTTTCTCAACCTTTCCATCACGCCAAAACGTTTTCCCAACTGCAGCAAGAACATGAGGGTCATGGGGCCCGCACCTCGTGTATGCGTCCCTACAGTAAGTTTTTTTACGAGGAGCCATGTCAATAGATTCGGCCCACAGGATGCCACTGTTAGGGCATTCTTGCAGTGCCTTTGCCATTAGTATCTCAGATTCCTTTTTGTTACCATGCCGGTTTTCAGCCCTGACGGCAGCAAGCCAGAGCTGAGGATTCTGAGGGTTTTTCTTTCTGGCCATGGTGAGGACAGCACGGGCTTTGCTCAGCCCGTTTACTTTCTCCTCCAAGCGGGCAAGCGAAAGCCAGAGAGGAATGCAATCAGGGCAGTTCTTGATGCCCAACTCATACGTTTCCTTTGCCTTCTGCTCCGAGCCCTGCCTCTCTTCTAGCTGCCCGAGCATAAGCCAGAGTTTAAAAAACCACGGGAAGTGTTTAATCCCCTCGTCCAGCAAACTCCTCTCCTCATCAGCATTGCCCAATTCTCTCTCTAAAATCGCCGACTTCATCCAAACCCTTTCTTTCCCTCCCCTCTCACGCGCCTTTGCAAGAATCATCCGGGCTCTCTCGGGCTCATGATTCTCAAACTCCAGCTTAAAGGCCGCAAGCCAAATCTCATCCGAGTTCGGGATCTTCGCATAAGCTTCCTCCAGAATGGCACGAGCAGAGGGCACATCGCCAGCTAGCCACTTCTCCTTGGCGCCCATAAGCCACAGAATCTCCGCATGCGGCACATAGGTGACAGCCTCACGCAGCAACTTGTCGAGAGAGTCCCTGCTCCCGTGACTCTTTTCAAGCCGAGCTGCCTTAACCCATATGCTCTTTTTGGTCCTGAAAACAGTAAGTGCATGAGCATAAATAGCTCTAGCTGTCTCAATCGAACCTCTCTTCTCACACTCCTCAGCATCAGCAACCCAAGTCCTCTTCCTATCCTCTTCCTCCACCCCAATCCCAACAGTGCAGCGAATTATAGCCCGACAGGTCGCCACATAACTGCCTCTCTCGGCCGCCTCAGCCTCTTTCATCCACGATTCCCTGTCCATTTGTATAGCCTTAGTCGCATTTTCTATAATCTTTTCAGTGTTCCTATGGTTACTACCGCCACTATTGGCCTCCTCAAGCTTTGCGGCCGTGATCCATATGGCCGACTCCTTGGGAAGCTTCGACCTGGCCTTGTTCAGCACCTTCTTTGCATTCTCGTAAGACTCGAGCCTCGCAAGTGCCAGCCACAGCTCGACGTGAAACGGGCAGCACTCGACTGCCCTCTGCAGAAGGAGACGGGCATCATCCTCGTTCGCAAGCTCCACAACAGCCTTCCACAGCCTCACCGAGTCTGGAACGTGCTCTAGTGCTTTTCTCAACACTCGACTCTTCTTGTCCACGTCATCTCCCTCGAGCTTAGATGCTTGCATCCATAGTTTGACTGATCTTGGGATTGCCTTCACCCCACGTGCAATCACAGCCTTCTTGGCGGCATCATCTACTGAAAGTCGGCAAGCCTCCAGCCACACGTCTTCACTTTTTGGGCACTCCTCACAGCCCCTCTCGATAAGCTGACGGGCAGCACGGAGCTTCCCAGCCACTTCTTCCAGCCTGGCAGCGGCTATCCAGCCATGAGCATGCTTCGGGTTTGTCTCGGTCACTGACCTGAGCAAAAGCCTTGCTTTATTGATATCAGACACCTCAGCATCACTGGTGATCTTCATGCTCTTGAGGTCGGTTAGGTAACCCTTAGGGTCCACCACAGTTTGCCCGGTGACTGAATCGGACAATCTATCCAGCTTCAACGAAAGCACGGTTCCTCTTCCCTGGCCAACAGCAGTTAAATCCGTGACAGTCTCAGTACCACCAGCAGCCCTGCTCTTGGGATCTAGTGAGCTCACGTGTTCCCTTTCCTGCTTTGCTTTCTCAAAGAGTGTGGTATCTGGAACCGGGACAAAGCTTTCGAACCTCTTCTTCCTCTTTTTATCAAAACTATTCCTATCGCCTATCTCCGGTATGCTATCCCACTCTTGGGCAGAGAGAGTGTGCAATTTTCTCTTCAGGTCGGCAAACTGTTCCGTGATCTTCGGATTCGAAGCACGGTATTTCTTGATTTCCTCTTTCAGACGTGCCTCCCTCCTGTCTTTCCGGCGGGAATCCATCCTCTGATCGATCTCCTCCCACACCGCGTCAGCTGCCTTGTCCTCGTCGTCATACTCGGCCGCGGACGCGAACAGTCCCGCGTCGTTCCCCTCAAACTCGTCAAACTTTTGATTATCACTGAAACCCTTACCTTCAGCTTCTTCCTCTTCTTCGCCCTCCCCAGGGCCCTTCCCGCGGCCCAAGCCGGCGGCGGCCGGTCCATCGCGCAGATCCGGTGCGGCGCGGGCCGGACCAATATCAGAACGAGTGGTGAAGCCCGTGGCGCCACGGCCGAGCCCCGCCACGTAATTCGACGGCGGTTTGGCATTCAGGAAGTCTAACGTACCTCTCGGAGGGACAGGCGGCGGCATACCGCCACCGGCGCCTGCGGCAAGGAATGGAAGCCCAGCCGACGGGGCCACGACGGCGGTTTTGTTGTCGGGATTGCCAATCACCATGGTTGTTGGGAAACGATAGGGATGTTAAGTCTCGATTTGGGGATTATGGTGTGAGACTATTGACAAGCTTTCAGCCGAGTAGTCCGTAGAGTGTTCACGCACATCTTGAAAAAATTATCCCCTAGACTTTCACACAGTTTGATTCAATTGCTGGACTTCAAGAAATATTTGGGTTCTCTTTGGCCCAATAGTATTTCTACACCGGAGATTAAGGCCCACAATTTGCATGAAGTAGAATGAAATATGACTAATATATTTTATTTATGTATTTTTTGAAAATAACAACATTCCTTATCTTTTTAAAAATATTTTTTACATTATCATATGTATAATATGAAGTCAAAATCGTATGTTTAGTTTACAACTAGTACGAATCCCGTGCGATGCACGAGTAAGAGATATTTATTAATATTTATAAATAAAAAATGCTCATTAAATAATATTTATAAATTAAATTATGAGACCTATATACAATACAATTTACCTATATTAATTTATTGATAATGTTATAAGAAATTTAAATCATGCAAAATTACATAAACATATCTATTTAAAATTATATTATATTAATTTTAAAATTAGTGTTAGTTTAAATTTTTTATTCAGAAATTAGATATGGTTACACTGTGATTCCATAAAATAATTATTTTGGTAATAATTATTTTTTGAATAATTATTTATTCAAAAATTCGCTATGACTACAAAGAGAAGACCTCAAAAGTTCGTTGGAACATAAGAAAAATGCGTAGCTTAATCAAAGATCTACTTTACCTCTTGATCTCCTAGATTAGACCTCATTGTTTGTCATCTTTTAAATGGTAATAACAATAGTATTGAAATATTTGTATATGATAAAATGTGCGTGAATGTATGATGCAAAAATTATGTATTATAGTGAACTTGAGTGTAATTTATTAAAACAAATAAATCCATAAAGAAATTATTCAACTAAATCAATTCGTAGTGATCAGGTGATGTATAATAGATGGAATCCTCATTTTTCAAAATACATTTAGATAAGATTTTTTGAAATTTAAAATTAATTATAACTAATCCCATAATTTATGGTAGCATTAAATGTGCTATAATTTTTATAAATAAAAAATACATAAATTGAAAAAACATTCCAAAAATGGTATTCAATTAATTTTGACAAATTTTTTTATTTACTATTTTTAGTAAATAGTAATTCTTATTATATGTATATAGATAGATTTGACGCCTTTAAAAGTCAATCTTGTCTTTTCAAATCTTTTGATAGTTTCTTTTCTTTCTGTCTTCTTTATCTCTCTTTTGGGTCATTCTACCGTCATGTACGTCTCGTACTTGTCTTGTACCTGCATAACAACATGTACCCCTTTAATTGATGTCATGTGTCCTAATTCTTAATGAAATAATTAAAAAGAAAAAAAGTCTTGTGTAAATACTATACTACCCTTACTTAAAACAATTATAAATTATATTTATGTAAAAGGAAAAAATGAAAAGAAAATTACCCCAAAGCCCAATTTCCCTCCCGTGATTAAGGTGAAGCACCCAAAAGAACCCAAAGACGAAGAAGAAGAAAGCAAAGACAACTATCAGATCTGTCCAGACAAATTATTATTTGAAAGATTAAGCAACTTAAGCCTCCCCCAGTTACCAATATTCGATGATAGTTCGCCAGTTAAGGCATTATTTGAAAGGTCTAGAGACTCCATAGGGGGAATAGTAGGAAGGCTTCCCCTCAATCCACTGGAGCTCAAGTCTAAAGCTTCCAGATTGTGGTCGCAATTTTTCACAACAAACATGTCATCAGATAGAAGATTTCTGCTAAGATCAACAAATAGACAATTTCTTAATGATGGCATCAAGGAACCGGAGATTGAGTTTGATGAGAGGTTAAGATTAACCAAAGTTGTTGAGTTGATCTCCATCACTCGGTCGAAGAACAAATCACGGGCTAAGGAATGAAAAAACCAACAAGAAAAAACCCAATTACTTCTGAACACGACCTTGGTTTGATCGGGTCAAGATTGACAAACAATATATCTCGATTATAGAAAGCAGCCATAATTTTCAAAGTTTCCAATCATTGAGTTACAAATGATTCAAACTCCAAAAAGAGATTTTCTTCCTGCTCTCAATCTCACATTTGCTGGTCAAAACCGTGGCCTTACAGGATTTACTTACTTACCTAAATCAGACAATCATAGAGAAAAAAGTAACTCATAGCTACACAGTGGCATCTCCCAATACATGGATTATAGCCAGCACACAAATCAGCCTCAAAAGAGCCAAGATTTTTTTACTTTTTAGGTTACCTTCACAATAAAAACCAAAACCAGTGCATAACTATTTTGTTAAAGTCCCTCTCTCCCGCTTTCTATATATGTATAAAATTAAGAAAGCAGCCAACGATAAACGAGCAGTAGCAAGCCAGAAAAAGATGCCCTAAATTTTGGTGGTAAAATTGCTTAGTTGACCATCATATGATCAAATCCGGCCCCAGCTTGCATAGCAGCAACCCTAGGTCCTTGCACATTGTGAAGCAACTGCTGTAACCACCGTCTCGTAGTTGGGTCTTCCTGAAAATACACCATTCATTCAGATGAGCCTTCTACCCAGTAAATATAGGGATTTTTTTATAAAATATTACACTTACACGGAGGCAGCTACTAAATGTTGCGTCTCGAAGCATGTCAGGTAGACAGCTTCTCAGGGCATCACATGCTCTGTACAATTTTGAAAAAATAAAAAATAAAAATTGCACAAATATGAAACAGTGAAGACTGGATAATTAGAAAGGCCACCACTAATCATTAAAAAAGAAAATTATATTTCGCGATAAAAATAATCCTGTGACTTCCATATTTTTGTAATTAAGAGGGATATTTAGAGAGGTATTATGTAAAGTTAGCTGTGTGCAGTGACCAACCTTGGATTATCAGATAATCGTAGATAGCATCTGATTATGTGCTTCAAAAGACGGGAAGAAGGCTGCTCAGCAAGTGCAGCAACCATGTTCCCCAGCACTCTACCTACAGCAAAGAACCGCTCGGCTGTGGTGCATATATATTCTAAGCCCACATCATCAAGCAAAATTTTCTGCACAATGAATGTTGCCACCTGCCACACAAGCCATAACTGTAAAAATGCTGAAAAGGAAAAAAGATGAAGAGAAAAGGAAATATTTGATAGTAAAAGCTATTTAACCACAAATCGATGAAGCCAGGGTTCATAGGGGAGCACAATACACTTCACTGTCCATTCAGAAAACCATAACACTCTTGACGCATGAGAAAAATTCCAGTTGATAAAATATTCTGAAACGTTAATCACTTTATTTTATCAATGACATATGAAGTTTTCAAAATTGAGGATCATATTTTCAGCTTATAATTGGTGTTGACTGGAAATAAAAATCAGTACTATACAAGAGAAAACTATCATTTGATGCTTTGGGGCACCGCTATTTGATAACACTGACCTAGACACACAGTTTGTACCAAAAATTATGGACTCAAGTACAATGTTGGACACATAAGATACGGTGTTAAACATGAAGAACTTCAGAACCACTAGAAGCCTGAAGAAAAGTCGGTTTCATAGTCATTCGAAGCAACCAACAAGTTAGGATTTCACTTATATTTTATGGTATAAAAAGGCATAAGTTGTAACGATACCAAGTCAGAAAACAAACATTAACGGCAAAAAGAAAAAAGACTCCAAAAAACTCAACTGTCTTTGACAATTCACTTCCCATCTCCATTGTGCGCAAACATAACGGAATGATCTCAGTAGAAAGAAGGAAACTGATAACTTCAGTATCATCAACCTATGTACCATGAAAAAACAAAAAATCACATAACTTCTGTCCAAACAGGAGGCATGAAAAAAAGAAACAGAAAACAAGTGGGGTCTAATGATTGATAATTCTCATGCAGGGAAATATCGAAGCACCTAGGTCTTACTACATGCCACACAAGAAAATTGAGCACACACACAGATATGAAGGGTAATATTCAAATTAGACAATAATAACTGAAATTCAACAAGAAGGTTGCACAAACTAAACATTAGCAAAATTTTGTAGCTGATGGAAGATGTGGTGACCCTATATTTCCCGCTTACCATAAATGGAAAATAATCATATCTAAATCAAGCACCTCAAAGATCACAGAATCCGGGTAGTGCAATGCTAAACTCCAGTCCAGAATGAGTACACGATGTGCTAAGGATGTCATATAAGGCAATCTTCTGATATATGTATATGTATGTGGAAATGAGGATATGTATGACGACATGCATGAATGCATCGGTGGGCAGACAAAGAAGCTGAAACTCATCTGGTCCCCAGCACAATCATTTTATATTTTTTAAAGTAATCAAATCACATTTTCACAGCAACTTCTTTCGGTATCGACAATAAGGCTACTTGCAACTTTTTTACGAAAGCATAAAACTTCAATCCAAAGAGCTTTACAAGTCATGGCTATAAAACAAGAATATAATAGGGCAACAAGGAATACCTTGACCAAAGCACCTATGACGCCTAAACTCGTAAGCCTCAAATACTCGAAGGGCCTTGATTTGCTTGTTGTATTAAGAAAGGGATACAAGTAAAGAGGTATGTGGGCTGCAAAAAGGAACACTGCGTGAATAACTCATACTTAAAAAAAGGCTACAAGTACAGAGGAATGTGGACTGCAACAGGCACCAGAATCGGCTAAGTTCCAACTTAAACCGTATTCTGCTAATAAGTGCAGGAAAGAACTACATGTTCATGCAAGCAAGAAACTACCATTGAGGAACAACATTCTCGTGTCTGGATGTGAAGCCACACACTGCGACAGAATGAAAACAAGATTAGTGGTTAGCCCCAGACAGGTGCAATCAAATTTCCTTACTCTTAAATTTATTCAAAGACAGCCTAAAAGAAACAAAAATGGTAAAGAACAGACAATCCAGTGTTCTGGACAAGAGTTTTTCTATAAATACATGATCTGAAAGAAATCCCATGTCACAAGCATTATAAAATAAAGATTAGGTCGTTGGTGAAAAAAAAAAAAGAAAAAAATGCAACTGGATGAAATAATGAACTTCTTTCTCCTTCAAAAATGAAACGAATATAGAAGAACATACAGAACCAGCACGATGACTAAATGTATCAACTATGGGAAGTCTGAATACGACTGGATAAATTAACAGCCTAGCTAAGAAAGAAACAAAAATAGCTTTCTTTTAATAAATAGCATTCAAATGCAGATAGCAGACATAAGACAAAAAATATATTCACAAATTTCAAGAATACAGCAATTTTTTCAGCCGATCCATTCAAATCGGAGGCGGTCGGGCAGCACCTAGGCGGCCGCCTAGGCCGATTATTAGTACAGTAATATATATATTTGCTTCAATTCGACTAAGTTATGCCAACAAACGATCCATATGTGTCGGTAGTGATATAACGCCGTTCTCTAACGTTTCTATGCGTTTCTCCATCCAATTTTTTTTATCCAAATCGGACCAATTGACAGAGTTAAGGGTGAAAGCAACAAAAATAACATATAATCGATATTATTAATTAGGAAAATAACTTAAAAACAACTCACGAGGAATCCTGCCCAGCTTAAGGGCAACATTTAGGGAGAACTTCCCACCCAAGATTAAAGCCGACAATGATATTCAACAAGAAGTAACCCTGGATATCAATTGTTAGTCTACTTAAATAAAGTTCTAACCTAGTTATAACTCTAATGGATATTCTAACCAAATGGGCTAAAAATCCCAACTATTGAATTAAATGAAATAAAAGTCGATATCTAGCAATTGATAGAGTTAACGGTGTGGCATGGGTTTTCGGCAATAAAATATTGGGGACAAAGTTGTTTTGACTAGGAGAGTATTGATACATATCTATATTTATGTTTCAATACTTTGGTTAAGTTATTTAATTAGGGCTAGAATAAGGTGATGGGCCCAGCTTTTGCTTTGGAACCCTCATTTGTTTTATTTAAGTAGTAGGGTCTAGGTCTCTTAAGCCATCGATGATAAGATCAGAGGAGCCTTTTGTCTTAGGCAAGAGAAACCTTGATCAGCCTTCGCGCTTGGGGCTGCATATGCTTTGAGTTCTTCCTGTTTCTTTCGTTTTCAATTAATATCAATTTCATTTTTTAATTTCTTCTCGAAATCCGCCCTTCACTCTATCATAATCCATATAAATGCATGCCAAATCTTTTGCATTCTGTAGCTATTAGTGTCCAGCACTTCTGAGCTTGCACTTTTTGACTTCCAAATATTATACACAAGGATATATATTGTTTATGTTTTTATAAAGGAAGAAAAACCTGGAAAACTAACTGTCAAAAGGCGGATAAAAGCATTAAGAATTTCCAAGGAAGATTCTGAACCAGAAATAGACAATACCTAAAGAAGAGCGAGAGCATTGCAAAGAAATAGACAATACCTGAAGAAGAGCGAGAGCATTGCAAACTCTGTTTGATTGCGCAGGAGTTAGGTTTGGAGGGGATAACACTGGGTAAATTGAGACTATTTCCTGCAGAAGTTCACAAAAAAAATACTTCATATTGTTTACAACATAGATGTGAACGTTTGAATACTTAAAGCAAAGACAATGCTAAAAAAACAGTTACTCCACATTATCATGATGGACGTGCATAGAATTATGTTATGGAATATGAAAGTAAAAGCAGTTCGAACAATGAACTTAAGCCTAGAAGTTTCTTTTTCTGAATTGACAAACACAACAAGAAAAATGCTGAAAACATGGCTGAGTAGATAGGGCACTTCATATTCAATCGCATGGCAAACCTGAAGAAGTGCAGCAATTGTGCCAAAGGAATTCCACAGCAGTGGAGCCAAGTCTTGAAACAGCTCTCTCTTCTATTAGATACAGAATAAGACAATGCATAAGACATGTATGAAAAAATAATACACAGAAACCATGATCAATCAAGAATCAACCTCCACAGAGAAACAAAAGCAATATGAGATTCAAAAACCAAAAGCAGACAACATTCAAGTCACTTGCGAACCATAGATAAACAAATGGGCAAGCCAACAAACATAGATGTTTTGTACTCAAAATCAATGAGCATTGTCCAAAATCGGACATTAGAAAGGTTTTTATTTGCTGGTAGCCATTAACACAAACACTATTTGCAACACTATTTCAAATAGTTACATTTGATTACTGCGCTACTCAACAAACTGTAATAAGTGATTATCACCTGAATTCTCGAGAGCACGAACTAAATGATCAGATTATGACAATGAAAGAACCCAAAAAAAATGCACAAATGTTGATAGAACCAGACAACCTTTGATAGTTCGAGGAGCGCGTTTTCCCGGAGATCAGGGTTGCAGAGATCGAGAACCAGCTGTTCGGCCGATTGCATTCTCCGGTCCTTATTGACGGCAGCGGCCGCGGAGCTGCCGCTAACCTCAAAAGGGGCAGCCTTCAAATTCAGGGACGGAGGGAGATTTGCCATTTTTCCTCTTTCACTAATTTCAATCTCAGTGGTTTCGCCTTTTCTTTGGTTTTCGTTCAATCAAGTTTTCTAGAGGGAGAGCAAATAAAGAAGAATGGATTTGAGACGACGTTCCTTGTACGCGCGTTTCAGTTTACCACCAATTCATGAATTGGCTTCACCGATTGATGGGCACACAGTTCCTAGAGATGTAAAATAGGGTTTGGCAAGATATCACAATTTTTAAACTCAGCCCGAAATCCGGCAAGCCTCCACGTCACTAGATCGCCATTTCATCCGCCGAATAACTCAGTTAATTATTTAAGAGTTGATTGTTAAATAAACTTCAACCTTTTTATGTTTGACAATTTTATCCCAATATTTGGATAATTGCATTATAATCTCGACCTCACTTTACTTATTGCAAGTCGAACCTTAAACCGGTCGGACCTTCCAAAAACGCCAACGTGTCTGGCAGCTTACACCTACGTGGATTTTTGACTTGCTACGTGGATATACAAAAAATTACACATAGGCACCAGGCCAGTTTCAAAATTAGAAACAGACCCCAGGTCTATTTTGAAATTACAGATTTAACTCTGGGGTAAAATTGTAATTAACTGAAACTTCTGAAAATTGCAAAACAGCTCTTCACATTTGTCAAATTCTCAAAATCAGGTCTCTGCCCTAATTTTTCTTTTCTACCGTCAGTTCAATTCTTGCCCGCCGCCGCCACGCGTCTGCCGCGGCTTCCGACCTCCGACAAACCATCGCCGTCCCAGGCCGGCGGCTTCTCACCGGAATCCCAGATTATTTTTTGAATGTTTGTCCGCCATTAATGGCGGACCGAGCTCGAAGCTTGATTTTCCCAGAAGCCCAATTTTTTTTTTTAATGTTTGTCCGCCATTAATGGTGGACCGAGCTCGAAGCCTAGATTTTTTTTTAATGTGTGTCCGCCATTAATGGCGGACCGAGCTTGAAGATTAATTTTCCCAGAAGCCCACAGCCACTGAGAACCACCTCTGCTCGGCTCCAAGCACGAACATCCATGGAGAAAGAGGGTCACGCGACGAGGCCGTTGACGGCCGCATTAACCTTCAGTTTGCCGCCCAGCGGCAGCGGTGGTTGGCCGCGATTCCCGACGACCAGGAACAGTGGCCTCAATCGCCGGCAGTGGCGTGACGGGAGATCGATGATCAGAGATGGGCGATGTGTGAATCGGCGAGAGTTGCAATTCCAAGAAAAGTTGTATACGAACAGATGAAAACTAATTCCAATTTCCTTTTCTTAATTTCAGTTTAATTGACATTAAAATAATTTCTGTATATCCACGCAAGCCAAAAAAATCCACGTAGATGTAAGCTGCCGGACACGCTGACATTTTTGGAAGGTCCGGCCGGTTTAAGGTTCGATTTGCAATAAGTAAAGTGAGGTTGAGATTATAATGCAATTATCCAAAGGTTGGGATAAAATTTCCAAACGTAAAAAGGTTGAGGTTTATTTAGCAATTAGCCCATTATTTAATAAGACAATTAATTTTTTTAAAATTATTTAGATATTATTTTTATAAATATAATTTTTTTTTTTATATCGAGGTTCCAGGCTTGCACCTGACTATTCCTCGAGGAAACTAGTCCTCGAGGAAACAGCTCCCGACCCCTCAGAAACTGCCTCCAGTTAATATAAATATAAAATTTTAAAACTATATATAGTATTCTTATCATATAAGTATACACAAAAGTAATACAAATAAATATCTTGTGTACAAATTTTTTACATTATTAATAATATTGTATTTTGTAATAAATATTTACTATATCAATATTTATACATAGTTTTTAGTTTTAAAATTTAAAAATTTAAAAACAAAATATCTTTTCAACTGGGTCAAGGACGGGTTGATCCGGTTTGACAGGTCCGAAGCACCCTAGGGGTTGATTGGGTCCTGGGTTGACCCGCCAGTTCCTAAAATATATATTGTTTAGATAAGAATCAAACATACTTATTTAAAAAACGTCTATTAAATATATTTCGATTTAAAAAAATAATAATTGAATATAGACGATAAAATTGCAAATATAATTACAAAATAAAAATTGAAAATCAATTATGGAAATTTTATTATGATATTTATCATAATATTACAATTGAATCTTATTTATCAATATTAATAACAAATCACAGTGATTTCTTATTCATTTGTTAAAACCATATACCAAAATATATTTTATCGTATCTTCAAAAAAGCATTTAATCAAGAGGATTGATTTAAAATCATTTGATTTATCAATAACTCAACCATTCCAATTTTTCAAAATTTATAACCCTATTTTTTTAAATATAGAAAGAAATTAATTTAACTATTTATCATTAATAACAAACAATCTTTATTCTTAATAACAAATCATGTGTTCTCCTGTTTTATTTGGTGTCAAGCCATATGTAGATCGAAAAATGTGTGAAAACATTGCAAAATATAAGTACAAAGTAAATTTAGAAATCAGTTGCAAAAATCTTATTGATATAACTATTACATTGTTGTAATAGAATTGATATCTCAACATTAATAACAAATTCCTACAATTTTCTATTCATTTCATAACGAGCCATATACAAAAAATCATCTATTCAAGAAGTTCAAGACTATCATTTGATTTTATCAATAACTGCATCAAACCAATATTTTTTTTTAAAAAAAAAAAATCCCTATTGCGATTAACAATATCATAACAAATCTCATTTAAATCAACATATTAGAACAAAAATATTTATAATACTATAAATTATAATAAATAATAAAATAATATTTATGTAATTAAAATTAATATAGTTTTTTAACTTCAAATATATATATTACAATCTTTTTCATAAGTGTTGGTTATAATATTTGCCACAAAATTTCAACTTTAGCTTAACTTATTTAGAAATCGAAATCCCCCCTTAATATAATTTCAAAACGTGTTAAGCCTAAATGGCTGGCTCGCACGCTTCGGGAGCTTACTTGGCAATAAAACATACACATACTGTAGTTCAAAACAAGTAAACAACCATATACTAAAATACTGAATCACAATCACAGAATCATCGATACACATTACTACAATTGTTACAAACATTAAACATACTCCATAATTCAAAGTTTCAAACTGAAAAGTGAAATCAGTCAAATACCCTAATTCCAATCACCATAACCATCATCTTCAAAACCATCATCTTCATCTTCTAAGCTTTCCACATTGACCAACTTATCCCCAACAGTCATTTTTACATTATACAACTCTACAAAATGGAAAACATCCAAACAAAGTGAATTATTACTTTATAGCTTATAAGAGCAATAATCAAAGTCTGAATGAAACTGAAAATAATTGTAAGAGCAATAATCAATCATCACTGCACAAATTCTGAAAATGAAAGAATGAAACTGAAAAATTAAATAGTACCTGTCTCAATATTCTCATAGAATTCTAAATCTTGAGCTGAAGGTTCACTCTCAAAGTCTATGACTATGTCATCTCCTCTAAGCCAATTTTGCATGCAAATCAAGGTCTCCACATATTTAGGAGTTAATGAACTCCTAAATGAATTAATGACTCTCCCTCTTGTGCTAAAAGCACTCTCAGAAGTCACTGTTTTGAATAGCAAAAACATCTTTGGCAAGTGAAGAGAGAACTGGATACCGGGAGGCTGCATTTTTCTACCATTGCAATATATCAAAGGATTTGTATTTCTCTATGATCACCTCTTTAGCAGCAAGGTCATCACCTTTTTTTATCATTAATGGCTAACAAAGGATCTTTCAGAAATGCATCAACCTCATGCTCTAGTGTTGCCTCATCAGTTTCTATGACATGTTTTGTCCAAACAACAACATACTTCAAGTTGTTGGTGGCTATATTAAGCCTACTCCCAACATTTGAATCATTTTCCTTCATTTTTTGCCTCTTCATGTTACTGCTGTTGTTGCTACTCACTAGTTATACACTTCTTCTCTTCAAATTTTTATCAATTTTTTCACTATACTCTTCAAACAACTCATACAGTAGTGTTGTGGTCTCTTTTTCCTTCTTCTCAACCTCATAATCACTCCACATCAACTCAGCAGACAACAATTTAGTGACATGCTTCATCTTAAACCTTGGATCCATCACAATTCCCACAAAAATTAAAGGATTCATATCCTTCAGTTGGCTAAAGTATTTGTTATACTTGGTTTTCATGAGTGATGCAATATCAGCCATTAATTTATGAGTTGCAGTAAGGGGGGCACATATTAACTTGTTGTTCATAGCTTATTCCATGTTAACAATATCATGGAAGGTAGTGTGAATGGTAGGTTGATCAGAGGCACTTACCCTAAATGTGACATCATAAAAAACTTGAAGAAAGCTTATAAGATATTCACATGCATCCCAATCTGAATCCCTTGGTGGCCCAAATTTCTTTTTGTCCTTTTTCTGAACAATTACATTTCCATCCTCATCAATCTCCTCATCAGGCTCATTAAAGTAGAACAGGACACTATCATTTGATGTGAATAACATATTTGTCGCGCATCATCGTGTTTTGAAGCAAAATCGTATACATTTAAAATAGCAATGGAAAATTGTAATAAATAGAGGCAAAAGTGAAAAAATTTTCCACGTCTCCGGAAAAGCATGGTTTCGAACAGGACACTATCATTTGATGTGAATAACATATTTGTCGCGCACCGTCGTGTTTTGAAGAAAAATCGTATACATTTAAAATAGTCATGGAAAATAGTAGTAAATAGAGGTAAAAGTGAAAAATTTTTCCACGTCTCCGGAAAAGCATGGTTTCGAACAGGACACTATCATTTGATGTGAATAACATATTTGTCGCGCACCATCGTGTTTTGAAGCAAAAAATCGTATACATTTAAATCAAGATATGGGTTGTCCACCTCTTGTCCATTCTTTTGAATGCATTTTTGAGTTTCAAGGAAAAATCCAACATCAAATATGTTGAATTCCATCTTGTTGGCACATCTAAGCACACCAATCCCTTATAATCAATTTTTTTCCCTAACCACAGCCTTCTCAAAAAGGGCCAACCTAGATGGTGAGCTTCTTACAAACTTGACAACATTTCTAATTGCTAAAATGGTAGAGTTTAGCTTTTTAAGACCACTGCCAACAACTAAGTTTGTAATGTGTGGCACATATCTCATGTGCATATGTTCCCCCCTCCCCCCTCAAAATCAAAGGTGAATTCATACAATCATTTAGCTTTTCAACCAAATGCTTTAAAGCTAACTTATTGGCAGAAGCATTTGTT